TCATATGACTGGCAAACCTGAATCAAAGTCATATGACTGGCAACCCTGAGACAAACTCATATGACTGGCAGCCCTGAGTCAAAGTCATATGACTGGCAAACCTGAGTCAAAAGTCATATGACTGGCAACCCTGAGTCAAAAGTCATATGACTGGCAACCCTGAGTCAAAGTCATATGACTGGCAGCCCTGAGTCAAACTCATATGACTGGCAGCCCTGAGTCAAAGTCGTATGACTGGCAACCCTGAGTCAAAAGTCATATGACTGGCAACCCTGAGTCAAAGTCATATGACTGGCAACCCTGAGTCAAAGTCATATGACTGGCAGCCCTGAGTCAAACTCATATGACTGGCAACCCTGAGTCAAAGTCGTATGACTGGCAACCCTGAGTCAAATTCATATGAATGGCAACCCTAAGTCAAAGTCATATGACTGGCAACCCTGAGTCAAACTCATATGACTGGCAGCCCTGAGTCAAAGTCATATGACTGGCAACCCTGAGTCAAAGTCATATGACTGGCAACCCTGAGTCAAAGTCATATGACTGACATCCCTGAGTCAAAGTCATATGATTGGCAGCCTTGAGTCAAATTCGTATAATTAGCAGCCCTGAATTAAAGTCATATGTTTGGGATTCTAGAATCTAAGTCATATGATTGACATTCCTTAATCAAAGGCATATGATTAGCATTCCTGAATCAAAGTCATATGTTTGGCAGCCCTGAATCAAAGTCATATGATTGGGATTCTTGAATCTAAGTCATATGATTGGCATTCCTGAATCAAAGTCATATGATTGGCATTCCTGAGTCAAAGTCATAAAGTCAAAGACATTTGAACAAAATGTTGTAAACTGCGTTCAACTCTTTCACAATTTTAATAATAAATCAAGTGCCAACTGTAATTGTTCCCTCAGAGCCAACTGTAATTGTTCCCTCAGAGCCAACTGTAATTGTTCCCTCAGAGCCAACTGTAATTGTTCCCTCAGTGCCAACTGTAATTGTTCCCTCAGAGCCAACTGTAATTGTTCCCTCAGTGCCAACTGTAATTGTTCCCTCAGAGCCAACTGTAATTGTTCCCTCAGTGCCAACTGTAATTGTTCCCTCAGTGCCAACTGTAATTGTTCCCTCAGAGCCAACTGTAATTGTTCCCTCAGAGCCAACTGTAATTGTTCCCTCAGAGCCAACTGTAATTGTTCCCTCAGTGCCAACTGTAATTGTTCCCTCAGTGCCAACTGTAATTGTTCCCTCAGTGCCAACTGTAATTGTTCCCTCAGTGCCAACTGTAATTGTTCCCTCAGTGCCAACTGTAATTGTTCCCTCAGTGCCAACTGTAATTGTTCCCTCAGTGCCAACTGTAATTGTTCCCTCAGTGCCAACTGTAATTGTTCCCTCAGTGCCAACTGTAATTGTTCCCTCAGTGCCAACTGTAATTGTTCCCTCAGTGCCAACTGTAATTGTTCCCTCAGTGCCAACTGTAATTGTTCCCTCAGTGCCAACTGTAATTGTTCCCTCAGTGCCAACTGTAATTGTTCCCTCAGTGCCAACTGTAATTGTTCCCTCAGTGCCAACTGTAATTGTTCCCTCAGTGCCAACTGTAATTGTTCCCTCAGTGCCAACTGTAATTGTTCCCTCAGTGCCAACTGTAATTGTTCCCTCAGTGCCAACTGTAATTGTTCCCTCAGTGCCAACTGTAATTGTTCCCTCAGTGCCAACTGTAATTGTTCCCTCAGTGCCAACTGTAATTGTTCCCTCAGTGCCAACTGTAATTGTTCCCTCAGTGCCAACTGTAATTGTTCCCTCAGTGCCAACTGTAATTGTTCCCTCAGTGCCAACTGTAATTGTTCCCTCAGTGCCAACTGTAATTGTTCCCTCAGAGCCAACTGTAATTGTTCCCTCAGAGCCAACTGTAATTGTTCCCTCAGTGCCAACTGTAATTGTTCCCTCAGTGCCAACTGTAATTGTTCCCTCAGTGCCAACTGTAATTGTTCCCTCAGAGCCAACTGTAATTGTTCCCTCAGAGCCAACTGTAATTGTTCCCTCAGTGCCAACTGTAATTGTTCCCTCAGTGCCAACTGTATGTGTTCCATCAGAGCCAACTGTAATTGTTACCTCAGAGCCAGCTGTAATTGTTCCCTTAGTGCCAACTGTAATTGTTCCCTCAGTGCCAACTGTAATTGTTCCCTCTGTTTTTTCATTCTAAATGTTAACACAATAACAGCCCAAAAGTGATGGTCATTTTTTAACCAATATTAATATTTTCATTAGTTTGTATTCGTAATTTGACTATTGCTCAGAATTGAAAGCAAGTTGATGAATGAT